GGACGCACCGACGGCCGTGACGCTGGGCAGGCAGCACAGGAGGGGAGCGCCGGGCGAGCGGAGGCGGCGGCGGCGGCCGGCGCGGCCGGGCCCCGGCAGCGCCAGCACGAGGCACGCGAGCGCGGCGCTGCCGCCGCGGGAGACGGTGAGGGCGAGGCGCGAGCGTCCGGGGGAGACGCGGAGGCCTCGGAGCCGAGCGTCGCGCGACGTCGCGCCTGGCGGGGCGCGGTCCAGGTCGACGAGGAGCTCCTCCGGCCCGGCTCCCACGCGCGACGCTGCCGCACGACACGGCGACATCGTTACCGATGCCGCTGTTGCTGCTGCGCCTTTATACAGGAAAGCTTAACGAGCCTCTCGTTCTTAGGAGGGTCATGCCAAGCCTTCGCAGGGGGGACGGGGGGGCGGGCGGCGATGTCGCCACTGCGTTATTTCGATTGAGTATTTTCCAGTTGCTTCTCGGCAGCGGGATGTTTTGGCCAACACCGATTACATTGCACCGGGGTTTTTTGTTGTTATGGGAGGAAATGGGGAAAGCGGGAGGAAATCCACGCAGGACAGCGGAGAACATACCAAACGCAACACACTGAGAGGTGCCCCCGTCGGGGATCAAACCCAGGGCGATTTCCAGCTGTGAGGCGCAAGCGTTACCACTGTGCCACGGAGAGGTTTTCGATTACGAACGGACAAAACGGAAGAAAACTCCTCCCGAGTCGACGGCCGAATTCGTTTCACCGCTAAACTCAGCGCTGCCGTTGTGGACTCCGTGCGGGCTGCGTGGCGGTCACCTGCTCGGAGCTCTCGTCGGCAGACGCGGCCCTGCACCTCGTAGTAGACATGGTCGCCCACCACCTGCACAGTTGAGACTTTCACTTGGACAGAGGTGCGAGCAGCGACGCTCGCGAATCGTCGGCTTCGAGAAAAAAACGGGAGCCCGATCGTGGCTTTGCATCGTCACCATCGTCGGCAACATCGTCGTTACCGTAGTCGTCATCGTCGCCGTCGCCATCGTCGCCATCATTGTCACCAGTCATATTTATTTATAATGCACAACTCCCAACACACGTCTCAATGCATAACCTGGCAAACATCTTCATGCAGCACTGTGTATATAGTGCAAAATAATGTGCGCTCACTAATTGCAAGTTGCCTTTGTCGTATTGCAACTGTCTCCTTTACAGCCTCTCCACACCCCTCACCTCCCCACACTCCTCACCTCACCACACCCCTCACCTCTCCACACCCCTCACCTCCACACACCCCTCACCTCTCCACACCCCTCACCTCCCCACACCCCTCACCTCCCCACACCCCTCACCTCCCCACACCCCTCACCTTCCCACACCCCTCACCTCCACACACCCCTCACCTTCCCACACCCCTCGCCTCCCCACACCCCTCACCTCCCCACACCCCTCACCTCCACACACCCCTCACCTCCCCACACCCCTCACCTCCCCACACCCCTCGCCTCCCCACACCCCTCACCTCCCCACACCCCTCACCTCCCCACACCCCTCACCTCCACACACCCCTCACCTCCCCACACCCCTCACCTCCCCACACCCCTCACCTCCCCACACCCCTCACCTCTCCACAACCCTCACCTCCACACACCCCTCACCTCCCCACACCCCTCACCTTCCCACACCCCTCACCTCCCCACACCCCTCACCTTCCCACACCCCTCACCTCCCCGCACCCCTCACCTCCACACACACCGCGTACTTCCCACCCGCACCCTTCGGCGAGACCCCAGCGCTCTGACCCCTTCCCTGGCTCTCAACGCAATCTGGGATCAGCGGCGCCTCGGGAATGCGGCGGCATTGAGACGCCGCGTCAACGCGCTCCGACTTGCGTCGCGATCGATCGAGGCACCCTCACCGTCGCGTCGTCGTGCCCGGTAGTGAACCGTGCGTAGGCGTCCTGCAGCTTCTGCCGGATCCTGCGGCTCCGGTCCCTGTCGAACGCTCGCTCGCAGTTCCTCGCCTCGCTCTCGAGCAGAGCGGCGTACTCCTGCTGACGCGCGTGCGCGAGTCACATTCGCCCGCACCGCGTGTTCACGTGACCCATTAAAGAGGCGGCCGCGTGGCTCGGAGGTCAAAGACGCCAAGCCGGGAGCACTGAGATTCTGCGGTTCCAATCCGGCTTTCGGCCGCCTGTGGTTAAATCAGATTCTCAAGCGCAGAGAGCTGATGCTCTCCGTCCGGTCACCAATGACTGCACAAAACACCCGTTACATAATAGTTGAATCTACGTTTAATTATGTTACAATTAAATATCGGTTTGGCTGCCATATAACGAACAGTAATCTCTAGCAGGGCGCATTAGAAAGTGCTGCCCTCTATCGTGTGGTAACAAAGTGTCATTTGAAAGGATCTCATGGGTAGCTCTGTAATATCCACTTCCGAGAACACGAAAGGTCACATCCATCTCCGAGAGATCCCAATTAAAACATCCGTCTCGTGATGTGACACCAAAAGCACGTAATTTCATACACAAAGCTAACATTGTTGGCTCATGGATGAGAGAATACTTTGACCGTGTCGGATAAAGTAAAAGTGTACGGTAATGCAGGGACGTGCAGTAAGGGGAGGTAGGGGAGGCAGAGCCTCACCTCTCATACTCCAATGAAAATAGCTGTTACGAAAAAAAAAGAATAATCAAATAAAATAAATATGCAGATTTTTCCACTGATCTGTTATAAATGTCATTCCTGTAAGATTCCAATCATTTTTATAGTCAAAATCGCCAAATTTGCTGAGCTCCGCTGCAAATACAGGAAGAGACGAGAGGTGAGGCAGCGACGAGCTCAGCCTCCCCTCTGATTGTGCAACCCCTCAGTAACTGGATGGAGTGCAGACAATAAGCGCGTGCCTGTTACTATCTCTGTATGTCACCAATGTAATGTTTGTAGACCCCTTCATTTCATGTCCTCACCTTCCATACTCCAGGTAACTTATTTCACGTATGTGTATAAAGATATTTAGGCTCGCTGGTCTCGTCATGAAACTGCAATGAAAAAGCACCGGGGGAGGCAGCTATCACATCTGCCTCACTGAGGGGGAAGTGTCTAACACGCCCCCCTCAGTGAGGCCACGCCCCCTTCCCGTGAGGCCACGCCCCCTTCCCGTGAGGCCACGCCCCCCTCAGTGTGTGATTCTGGCTTTGACTTCACCGCACGTCACTGCAGTAATGTCATACTTTTTACGACAATTGGATGAACATAACCAACATAGCATTAACCCATTCATCTAAAAATGCGGTCGCAAACTTTGTTTTATTTACAACGAATATAAATTTGTACCACAAGTGGCCCAACGACCAATGGTCACCACTCCTCCGTGGCTGGTTCGCTCGTTGGTGAGATGTTAACTGCCTCGCCTAATATACAGGAGGTCGTGGGTTAGATCCTGACGCCTGCTGCTGTATATTTTGAGTTTGCATGTTCTCCCCCGTGGTAGCGTGGATTTTTCTCCCGGCCATACGGGTTTTCCGCTCTACATTTAAAATCAACACGACTTTTGAGTATTCGGCTGCTAGAAATTTCCACGTGATAAGCCACTTAGTTGAGCTATCATTTGTATTGGCAGGTAGCTTCTGAAAAAAAAGAGCTGAAATAGCTCAGTGGGCCTTACCTGGTAAAAATTGTATTAAATTTGTTTATATCATGGGACATTTCTTGCCAGTATCAAAATGTAAGAATTGGTTTGACCCTTTCTGGAAAAAAGAGGGGTTAAGATGTTTAAACACCAAACAGAAACATTTTGCAAGGAATACATTGCCAGAGCATGTTTGCATGTTCACCACAAGTAGTGTGGTTAATGCAGACTTGATTCCTTGCAAAACGTTTACTGTTTGGTGTTTTAACATCTTAACACCTCCTGAAAAGAGTAGAACCAATTCCTTTTTGAGTCCTTCCTCCCCATTCGTCACTCCGTCGCATTGTCAAAGCGTTTCTCTTCCTATTAATATTATTCTTGGTTCTGTCCGATCGTTTACCGGCGGCGAGTCGGCGGCAGCGGAGAGCGCGCGGCCCAGGAAGCCGCCGCCACCGCCGCCGAGCAGGAGGCGAAGTGCTGGGGACGTGGCCCGGGCGACGTGGAGAGGCGGCACCATGTCGCCCCAACTACCGCACCGAGTCTCTTCTGCACCGAGTCGCGTGTCTTCGTGTGTGTGTGGGTGTTTTTCTCTTCTGCACCGAGTCGCGTGTCTTTGTGTGTGTGTGTTTTTCTCTTCTGCACCGAGTCGCGTGTCTTTGCGTGTGTCTTTGTGTTTTGCGACGTTCTTCGATTTAGCCAGGCGGGCGGAGAGGCGCGAGGTTCGCGAACCGAGGCGGGAGCGCGCTCGCCGGTCGCCGCGGGCACGGGAAGGGTTCTGGTGATGCAGCGAGCAGGGCTAGTAGGACTTAGCGATTCAGCCGATGGGACTAAGGCGCAAACTACTGACGTAGAATTAACGTTTTTTTTATTATTATTTAGGTGTTTGATTCACTTCGTGGTTACTAGTTGGTAACGCCTATGGTTATGATCACGACGGTGACATCGTTGCTGTCAGGTTGAACGCGCTTCTTCAGGCACCCTGCGAGACTGGCTAACGAAGGCGTGCGGGCGAGGGAAGGTGGGAGGTTATGGACTTTGCGGATCGTTCAAGCCCGCGCACCTCCAGCCTCAAGCCCGTCCACGCTGGACCAAACACGTGCCGGAAGCGCCGCGTGCGCGCCGCCATGTTGACCGGCGCGGGGCATCACGGGTACCGCGCAATGTTGTTGTCGTCGGGCAGCAGGCTGGAGGAGGAACTCGGAACTAAAAAAAAACTCCGCGGCTCCGGAACTAAAACGCCGACGGATTTCCGAGTTCCTCCCGGAGGTTGCGTACGGGACCGCGTGGGAGTTGGCCATGTTGGGTGGGGTGGTGATGGGGGGGGTGATGGGGGGGGGTGATGGGGGGGTGATGCGGGATGGGGGGCGTTGTCTCTCCCAATTGGTTGCCGCGGCTTGCGCTGTGACGTCAGGCGGCGTTTCCGTGGCAACGGCTTCTCCCGTACCAAGATGGCCACGGAGGCGAGAGGAGACGCGAAGGCGGCGCAGCGGTGGGAAATCCTGCGGCAGGTAGAGACTGGCGGCTCATTGAGCCAGACTATGGCAGAGCCGGGGAGAGACTCGTGGCTCATTGAGCCAGACTATGGTAGAGCCGGGTAGAGACTCGTGGCTCATTGAGCCAGACTATGGCAGAGCCGGGTAGAGACTGGCGGCTCATTGAGTCAGACTATGGCAGAGCCGGGGAGAGACTCGCGGCTCATTGAGCCAGACTATGGCAGAGCCGGGGAGAGACTCGTGGCTCATTGAGCCAGACTATGGCAGAGCCGGGGAGAGACTCGCGACTCATTGAGCCAGACTATGGCAGAGCCGGGTAGAGACTCGTGGCTCATTGAGCCAGACTGTGCCAGAGCCGGGTAGAGACTGGCGGCTCATTGAGCCAGACTATGGCAGAGCCGAGGAGAGACTCGCGACTCATTGAGCCGGGTGAAGACTCAGACTGACAGCCACTCTCACTAACCACGGCTGTCTACAGAGCAGCAACAGGAGGATGAGGAGGTGAATGTATGTATGCTGATTTTCTTTCGCACAATACGTAGCTAACCGCGCTAATTGTAGGTGCGGGGAAAGGACACCAAACGAAACACATTAAAAAAATTATTCTAAAGAAATTAGTTTTCAATCGAGATGACTTAAAAGTGCAAAGCTTTAGCGACTTCCTAATATCGGAAGGAAGAGCGTTCCAGACGGCCGCAGAAGCGCATCTGAAAGCGCGCGATGCTGTGACCATCTTCTGTTCGATGGCTCGGCAAAAGCGAGAATGAGCGGAGTTGGCGCGATGATGGTTTCTGTTCGTTGACGAGATCAGCAAAGGTTGTTGTGGTTCATTTGTGGCAAGCAACTTTCCGTGTGATAGGTACCAGCAACCACAGGCCCAGCAGTCTGCTGCCTGGTCATATCCTCTGAAATTGTATCGTCATTTTACGAGAGGGTTGAAAACTCACATTTTGTTTTACTTTTCACAATCATCATCGGTATACTTTAAGCGTACAACAATTATGCCATGGAAGCATGCTGGTTGTTGATACACTGGAGTGTTGGGCAATGTAGTTGGTTGTCACGTGACATTCTCACGTCACGTGTGCTCCTACCTATGTCAGAGTGAGCCATTGGTGCTCATCTCCTGTTCACTGCCCTGCAGAGCGAGTGGTGGAAATTCCACGCTCCTATGGCAGGTGATAGTATATCCATAGGACCACCACTGGTTGACTTCCCCACAAAGCGGGAATCATTTTATACACCCCGGAGGGATGATGAGCTTGGTCAACTGCCCCCTAACCGGGATTTGACCTCGCAACCATCCGATTGCTCGCTGTACCGTTGAACCAACTGGCTGATTCTTGTTTCAAAATAGACTCCGACATTTATTAGAATGTTGTGAAATAAATGCAGTGTCAACTGTTTAGGACTTGTGCGTGGTGCCACGTCAAGCAGTGAATGAACAATGAGATATTATCAAGTCAGGAGTATTTGTTTCACCAGGTAAGAACTGAAGAGACCGGGGTAGTTTCATTTACAACATTCCCCTGGGTCACCAAAACGACAATTTGCAATGAAATAATATTAGAATAATAAACTATTTTTTTTTTATAAAGCGCCTATTCAAATTGGTAATCTGCAGCAGTGTGAATATAAATCGGAGCAAAGACGAGTTACGCTACGGGAGCGATAAAACAAAAGCACGCACAAACATGAAACGTCATCATCGTCATCAGCAGCAGTCAATCCCCTGCCTATCGGGGTCCGCAGTCCTAGAGGGACCCCCACGCAGAACTCAGTTACTGACCGCGACTTGACGGGGTGGCGGGATGTGGTCCGCGATGGTCTCTCCCTCCCCTCCACAGGCGTTGCGCTCTGGCTGCGTGGAGCCGGTGGCTGGCTCCTCCGCCTCCGTGCGTCGCTTCGCTTCGTTTGGGCTCTTCACGGTGGAGCGGCACGGGGAGGACGAGGAGGCCCCCGGTGGAGCCGAGTGGCTCCGCTTCTCCTGCTCACAGATGCTGCCGCGCCATGCGCTCATCCGGTGAGGGGAAGCTGCCACTCCCGCACATGCTACACGCCAGATTCGCCGAGTAGGCTGTAACTGACTGTCGGGGCAAGTGCTGTTTGCGAGCACCTGTGAGGGCCGGCACGGCGCACGAGGGGGTCGGTGGCCAGCACCACGCGTGGCTGGCTTTGTCTGCCGAGTGGCGATGTTTAAACATCACAGTAGATACTCATTTGAAGCCGAATAGACCTTGGGCAGGCCTGGGCCTAGTTCGTATCGGAAATGGAACTAGGATGTGCCGAGTTCCTAGCGCTCACGCTAACCGCTGGACTACCGCATTGGATACTACAACAACAACTAGGTGCACTTTGAGGGAACGTGAAGGGTCGAAGGCCCGTTGACAGGAGGTCACGGGACAGACCCAGGTGCAATGGATTAACTGACTGAGATGACTGGCAGATGCATCACTTGTGCTCCTTACTGTGGCAACTTGCTGCGTTTTAGCCACCCGGTGCTCTGCTCATTGTTGTGAGTATCGCTCCTCTGCTCTCCACTGTTGGTGGAGGGCGACTGCCTCCAAATTCCCAATAGCTTCCTTTACGAGCTTTCCTCCACAGAGGTCGATCTTGACACTGCTGGTACGAGTCATCTACAAGTCCAATCAACTCCACATCTTTGTGTACCACATCAGTCCTTCTATTAGCCCATGCCGTGCCCGCTTAGCCCCGTCTATCCAGCCTAGCAGAAGCTGCTTGGGCAAGTGCTGGCTGGGCATGTGAGCCACATGACCCAGCCAACACAGCCTCACTTGCCGGAGGAGCTCACTGATGGGACTGTGTTCAGACCTTTTACGGATCTGTGTGCTCCTCACACAATCCTTTCTGGTTCCAACACAACAACAAAAACAACGGCCGCCATTCGCCACTAAGTGGCAGTGACATCACTATGGCGCTGATGCCAGACTAAAGTATCGAAGGCTCGTTGCTGACAGGGGGTCACAGGACAGACCCAAGTGCCGTGGGTTGACTAACAGATGACTGGCAGATGCACCACCTGTGTTCCCCACTGGAGCAAATTGCTGCGTTTTAGCCATCCGAAGCACAAGATTCACTCACAAACCCACACATGTTATTATGAACACACATGATGAATCCACTCGCACACAACACTCATGCATATACACATCCCAGACTCACAAATCCACGCACTCACGCACCTAGCTACACGCACGTCCACAAGCAATTGTGAACCTACACACCCTTGCACAGAGTAGCCTCAGGAACATTTTTACTTTTCAATTTAGTTTATTTTCATTTGTGGTGTATATCGTCTACGCTTAATTGTTACTGAAAATTGTGTTTTAGCTGTAATCACTTTCTCACTGAGTAATTATCTCACTACCCCTTTGTTCTGGTGATTGGATGTGCTGCATGGGAGGCGCAGTATAAATGATAACATTCACGCATCAACACAACTCCACTCACCCGTGCTCACACACCCATGCATCCACATACTTGCACACATCTTCCCACGCACACACCCTACCACACACAACCGACTGACACACGCACTCACAAACCCATGCACCCACACAGTCGCATGAAAGCACCTACACGCACACACTCCCACGCACAACCCACAAAGACAAAGATCTCCAGTATAGCCCGAACAGACCATTGGGGCAAGTGCTGTTAGCGAGCAACTATGAAGGCCGGCATGGCACACGAGGGGGTGGGTGGCCAGCACCATGGCCAGCCGCCTTTGTCTTCCTGGTGCTGATGTTTACACACCGCACTAGGTACTCATTTGAGGCCGACCTAGGGGAGACCCAGGACCGGTACAGATAATCGTCACTCTTTTCGGTCATGAGTAGGAATTGAACTCGGGTCGCTGGGTTCGTAGTGCAGCGCGCTGACGGCTACACTACCACTCACCGACACACGCCCACATACCCACTCGCATACGAACCACACGCACCCAGAACTAACCTCGCAAGTGTCCCAAATCTCAGTTTCCTTGTTGTACCTTTTACTCTTTGTGAATTTGTCACGGAGGCATTCGCAGGCTTAGGGCCCGAATTATCTCCGTGAGCCCCCTTGGCTACAGAGCCAATTCCTCCTCCTCGCAGCTCATCATCGCCGGCGGCTCATCTTCATAACAACGTCGCGGGCGACAGTCAAATTGCCCTCGCGTTACTCGGCAGCCTAAGAGCCCCATTAAGTGCCGATGTGTACACTGGCAAGGTTGTTACTCGGGAAGGTAATTGGAATAATGAGGTGGAACATTAGCGCCGCCGCTTGATTTGTGTGTTCGCAGACAGTCGGTGGGCGCCGTCAATCTCAAAGACGTCCTCAGCAGCTTCGACAACACGGGCAACGTGTGTGAGTACGCGCTCGCGACGCGGCACGGCACATCCCAGGCTCACAAATCCACGCACCCACGCACCTCTCTGCACGCACGTGCACAAGCAATTATGAGCCTACACACACTCGCAGATGGTCGGTGGGCACCGTCAATTCACATGCCGCACATCCCAGACACAAACGCATGGTGCGGCGTGCGTTTGTGAATGTCTAGGATGTGTGGTGTGTGAATGTCTAGGATGTGCTGCGTGTGAATGTCTAGGATGTGTGGTGTGTGAATGTCTAGGATGTGTGGTGTGTGAATGTCTAGGATGTGCTGCGTTTTAATGTCTAGGATGTGCTGCGTGTGAATGTCTAGGATGTGCTGCGTGTGAATGTCTAGGATGTGTGGTGTGTGAATGTCTAGGATGTGTGGTGTGTGCATGTCTAGGATGTGCTGCGTGTGAATGTCTAGGATGTGCTGCGTGTGAATGTCTAGGATGTGCTGCGTGTGAATGTCTAGGATGTGTGGTGTGTGAATGTCTAGGATGTGCTGCGTGTGAATGTCTAGGATGTGTGGTGTGTGAATGTCTAGGATGTGTGGTGTGTGAATGTTTAGGATGTGTGGTGTGTGAATGTCTAGGATGTGCTGCGTGTGAATGTCTAGGATGTGCTGCGTGTGAATGTCTAGGATGTGTGGTGTGTGAATGTCTAGGATGTACTGCGCGTGAATGTCTAGGATGTGTGGTGTGTGAATGTCTAGGATGTGCTGCGTGTGAATGTCTAGGATGTGCTGCGTGTGAATGTCTAGGATGTGCTGCGCGTGAATGTCTAGGATGTGTGGTGTGTGAATGTCTAGGATGTGTGGTGTGTGAATGTCTAGGATGTGTGGTGTGTGAATGTCTAGGATGTGCTGCGTGTGAATGTCTAGGATGTGTGGTGTGTGAATGTCTAGGATGTGCTGCACGTGAATGTCTAGAATGTGCTGCGTGTGAATGTTCAGGATGTGTGGTGTGTGAATGTCTATGATGTGCTGCGTGTGAATGTCTAGGATGTGCTGCGTGTGAATGTCTAGGATGTGCTGCGTGTGAATGTCTAGGATGTGTGGTGTGTGAATGTCAAGGATGTGCTGCGTGTTAATGTCTAGGATGTGCTGCGTGTGAATGTCTAGGATGCGCTGCGTGTGAATGTCTAGGATGTGCTGTGTGTGAATGTCTAGGATGCGCTGCATGTGAATGTCTAGGATGTGCTGTGTGTGAATGTCTAGGATGTGCTGTGTGTGAATGTCTAGGATGCGCTGCGTGTGAATGTCTAGGATGTGTGGTGTGTGAATGTCTAGGATGTGCTGCGTGTGAATGTCTAGGATGTGCTGCGTCTGAATGTCTAGGATGTGCTGCGTGTGAATGTCTAGGATGTGCTGCGTGTGAATGTCTAGGATGTGTGGTGTGTGAATGTCTAGGATGTGCTGCGTGTGAATGTCTAGGATGTGCTGCGTGTGAATGTCTAGGATGTGCTGCGTGTTAATGTCTAGGATGTGTGGTGTGTGAATGTCTAGGATGTGTGGTGTGTGAATGTCTAGGATGTGTGGTGTGTGAATGTCTAGGATGTGCTGCGTCTGAATGTCTAGGATGTGCTGCACGTGAATGTCTAGGATGTGCTGCACGTGAATGTCTAGGATGTGCTGCACGTGAATGTCTAGGATGCGCTGCGTGTGAATGCAGCCTCGTCTCAAGACGCCGTGCAACGTGTTTATTTCCTACTTCGAGGCAGTCGTCGGTCATAGGCAGAGATAAAAAGGTCAAAAGGATGGTCTTGAAATCTGCACTTGAACAGTGGCAAGGAGTCAACAGCGCAGATGGCTGGGGTGAAGGGAGCCGCAGAGGGGAATGAGCGACACCCCCACCGGGGAAGGTTGACCGGAGGCTGACGCGGCTTCCGATGGGAAGTTCGCAAGTTCATCTAACCGTCGGGAGTCCTCCTCGTGCAAAGTGGCGCTGTTTCCGTGCAATGCGGTGCCCTGCGATGGCTCACCACCGTCGTCCCAAGTGTGGGATTTTCCGCCGCTGGCCCGGGGCTGCAGGGGAGCGCCGCACGCCCATTGGGGCGGCAAAGCGTCTCGGACCTTTTGTACCGGCGGCTTAATTCTGCCGACACCAGCGTCGCTCATGTGATGCGCCACTTTGCATTAGACGGGTTCCGGAGACGTTTTAATTAAATAGTCTTCCGTCGGATTGTGAAACGACGCCCCTCCAGGCATCGTGTCTGGAGCCCCTGCTTCCTGCAGCGCGCTCGGCCATGGTCCCCGGCGCGAGGAGTCGAAATGGGGGCACCCCCGCCCCCCCCCCCCCCGTGCGGCCTGCCCCTCCCGCCCACCTCTTCGTACCCTGCAGTACCTGGTGCAGTTGCGCAGCCTGCACACACTGTCGCCCGTGTGACTGCAGGAACGTTTTCCAAGTGGGGCGCCTGTGACAACCAGATACGCAGCGGCACTGCGGCCTCGTGCCAATCTCCCCGCGCTCCCTTCGGAGCGCGCCGCGTCACGATCCACGCACGGGCCCAACCGGGATCCGCACGCCCACCTCAGAGTATTAATTGTACTGGACGAATCCCTATGAGCTGTGAAGCTCTTTTTAGGCACAGGCTTCTCCTGGTTTGCGTCCCGCTCGCCCACCGGCGGCGACTCCGTTCGGTCTTCCACTGCGCGGGATCCGAGCGGGTGGGCGGGGCAACGACCTTGTCCACCCATTACTCTAATCACCCCTGCTGTCACTCACGGCAGGGGGTGCCCTGTGGCGGCGTGTGGCTGCTGCCGCTTCAGCACCGCCGGCTCCCGGACCGCGGCCTCATCGGCGGCGGGGCGGGGGGGGCGGGGTGGGGGCATGCCGCTCGGTTCCGCCCGGCGCCGGCCCGGCTTTGACCGCCGCCCCGTAACCCCCGCGGGGGGCTCTGTGTCCTCATTGTCGTGAGCGTACAAAGGACGGCCGTGGGGGTCCGGGTTGTTTGTCCCGCGTCGGCAATTAAGTGGTTTACGTGGTTACGTGAAGGGATACATTCGCGTTTGAGCGGCCGCTGACTTCGTGTGATGTTCCAGCCTCTGAGCAGAGATTTCGGTGACTGAGAAGTTATTTTATATCGACGATTATTTTGCTAGTTTTTATATGGAAGGTGTTTTGTTACATTTTTTTTTTATCGTTGAAGCAAAAATTCTCCACCCTTGTCCTGATTGTGCTATCAGTGTCCAGTCCTGATGTCACGAACACATTTGGATCTCTCACATGGCACAGGACAGGTCCGCTGAAGTAGATGTCACAGCACTACTTCTGAGATCCCTTCATGTGACCTGTGATTCGCAAAGTAGGGCAGGCAGCACTTTCCCAATCGCTCTGCCACTCAGAGTCGTCTTCATCACGTGACAGTCAGCATTTTTTTTTATTCTTGGAGCTGGAATTCAGCCAAATTTTGTGCCAAACCGAATTTCACTTGTGCAGTCATCGATGAATGAGCTGAGACCATCGGCTCACTACATTGGAGAACCCAGCTGAATCGCAACCGAATGCCAACCGCGGATCTCAGCAGTGCAAGCTGATCGCTCTCACCTCTTAGCCCACCCGACCATCTCTCCTTCAAGGGTTTTTCTTGTGGAGTTTTTTCAAACACCCAACGCTTCTGGTTTTTAGACGCGCGGAAAATTGGAGACCCGTTTTCCCCTATGGCGCTTTACGCGAGCACCCGGGTTTGCATCTGCACAAACACAGGAAGAGGCCGCTGGATGAAGTTGTTTTGTGTTTGAATCACCACTTCCGGGCAGCGGCGGGTATGCACGTGGCCGGTAAGCTAGCACTGTGGAGGCATCAGGGGTTGGTGGATCACACAAAGACGTGAAACTCCCCTCCTGTGGGCGTCGAGGAGTTGCCCACGCCCTGGCTAGCCAGGAGATGGCGCTACAGCAAGTCGACTAATCGCCGGCGGTGTCCATCTGTAAGGCGATGGAGCATTGCCGCCTCTAACAAGGCGTCTGTTTTCTCCGGGTCCTCTGGTTTCCTCCTCCCTCTTGTCGTGTCATTAATTTATTTATATCACCTTTATTTAACCAGGTAAAAAAAAAACCTTGAGGTTAAAAACCTCTTTTGCGAGGGGCACCTGGCAGGAAGGCAGCAAAATGAAATCGCCACACACACAACACGAAATAAGAGTACAGTACAACACATTACAAAAATTGCAGTGGTCAATGACATCTTTTTCTATCAGAGCTTTGGATTCAGACAGTGATACCCCCTTCTCCAGCTTGACAATCGTTTGTAATTCATTCCAGGACCAAGGAGCATGATAGGAGAATGATTGTTTCCCCATTTGAGTGCTTGCCCTAGGTACTGTTAAAGAGAGAACTGACTGAGAACGAAGGCTGTAGGCTTGTGACCTTTTTGTTAGCTGTGAGCAAAGATATGCAGGGAGCAGGCCAAGTACAGCCGAACGCATCCTAAAACAAAATACAAACCCAATGAAGGTACCCTCTGGACAAAGAGTCGTACGACTCAGCGTGGCTCTCCTCCTGGATGAATAAGCAAATGTCCACGTGGGGGGGGGGGGGGGGGGATGGTGCCCTGCCACCCGCAGCGTGAGCTACCCCACCCCCGCCGCGCCCTCACCGTCCACCGCTGTCTCGGCCAGCGTTGCCCCCCTCACCGGGTTCCGCTCAAAAGTATCGGAGGAATGTAGCGGCGTCGGCAAAGTGGGGCGAGGAGCGCGCAGGGTGCTGACAATGTGGGGGGGGGGCCCCCCTCAGATGAGCTAATGAAGCTGCGGGCGGCACAACACCCCCCCCCCCCCCCCCCCCCCCCGTCATGCCTCCGCTAACGCCTCGCGCCCGCTCATTACCTCCTCGCTAATGTTAACTCTCGGACACTCGCCCGAGGGGACCCTTTTAGTCTCCAGGCAACGGCGCCGGCCCACGACCCGCCTGTCGCCGCTAATTTGAACCTTTCTCGCCGCGTCTGGGCGCGCGTGGAGGGGGCGGGCGGGCGCTGGCGCTGGCGCGCTCGGAGCGCCCGGTGGGAAGCGCCACGGTCGCTCTCCGCAAACACTCCAGGGCCGCTGCGGATCCGAAGAACACTTTTAAATTGGCGGGTGTAACACAATTTGTATCTTAAGTAAGGCCGTAAAGCCGCACGAGGATTTGTTCGGCATCTCGGTGTAAAACCCCCTCGTCGGTGATTGAGATGAAATTAGAGCCGTCGTGACACGGACGCGGGATATTGCATTTGATTAGACCCTTCAGGCCTGCAGGCGTGACGTATAATTAAGCTTTCAAGATCACGGAAGATCCCGTGTCGTCTCCCCGCGCTGTGTGCGCGCGATCTGAAGCACTGCCGAGCCGCAGCCCCGACGCTCGCTCTGCGCCAACGCCGCCCCCCCGCCCCCCCCCAACCCCCCCCACTTCACTTTTCCCACCAAGTCGCCTTTGACGTCAGGGAAAAGTTCTTCTCAAAAGGGGGCGCGCACAACAGTCGCGTTCCTCTCGTCGTACGCCTGCTTAAAACCAACGGAAAAACGGAATTTTTGGCGACTTTCGCGTTGGAAGGCTTTTTGATTTCGACTCGGAAGTCCACGGAGCTTGCCCAGAGGCCGGCGGGAGCCCTGCGCCCCGTGAACGTGCCACGCTCGCGGCGGACGCGCCAATCCTGCAGCGGGTCGATTCCCGTAACCCTGCGGCTCTTGAGAGGCGGCCACTGAAGGCGCCACGGGGCCAGAGCCGCGGTGTTCCCTCTCTCCCTCTCTCTCTCTCTCTCCGCCGATGACCCTCGCCGACCTCCGCGTAGCTTTTCGCGGTCTTCCCGCGTGTCCTCGGGTCGTTCCGCCGTGCATTGTTCGACACGGCGCCCGACGTTTCGCTCTGCGCGCCGGAACCTTCTTCGGGAGCCGAATTCAACGAGAAGCCTTTGCCGGCGCGTGGAGCTAAAACGTCGGACGCCGCATCTCAGCGCCCGCAGAGTGGCACTCGGCCCCCCCCCCCCCCCCACCCTCTCTATCCGCAAGCTTCGTTCTGGCAGCGTTGCGCTTTCTCTCCGGATCGTGGAGCCGCGCGGGTGTTCCCGTCGCTCGCGAAGCGGAGCGCCGCGGGGCGCTGCCGCTAATCCCCCGATGCCGCACGCTGTCTCTTCCGCCCCCGTGCCCAGCCGCCGCCTCCGGCCACCGCCGGCTGTGTGTGGGGAGTAAGGTGGGGGGGGGGGGGGCGGTGGGGGGCGATGCAGGGTCGGGGAGGGCAGGTCGGCCATGTCCTACAAACAACGACAGAGGGACGGGGGAGGGGCGGCGGGGGAGTCCAAATCCCCCGGCAACCCTGTTACCAGCAGCGCAAAGCTGGTGGACAAAGGCGGGCGCGATGGAGTGTGAAGTGAGGGAGGCGGGGGAGAACAACTCAGTGGCGGAGTTTTTATTGAGAGCGGCCCGAGCACGGTTCTCCTCGCCGCGACCCAGCGGAGCCTTTCTCTCGGCCGTGGCTCGCGCCTGCCTTGTTGAGCAGCAGCGTTTAAAGGGGCTTTTGCACCCCCCCCCCTCCCTCCCCCCCCCGTAATGCCGCTAAGCCAGCCTGTGTAGATGTACTTAGCAGAATCAACTCTTTGTCGGATCGTTTAGTGCTTGGAAGGTGTGGAATGTTGCACACGCTCAAAAGGACAAAGTAGCCTGTACGATCATGCACGCGTGTGTGCGTGTGTGTGTGTGTATATGTGTGTGTGTGTATGGCCTTCATAGGTGCTCGCTAACGGCACTTGCCCCCTACAGTCTGTTAAGGCTATACGGGGGATCTTTGTACGCATGGCAATTGTACAACTTTCAAAAGTTTGACTTAAAATATTTTGTTCAGCAGCAGACACTTCTCTGTGAAACTTTCCCCTGCCACGACTGGATGAATGTACGCTTTCTAACCGGCGACTTTTCACGTCACGACGAATTCAATTACCGTGGCCCTGGTGGCGGGGGGGGGTGGGGGGTAGTTTCGTACCTCTCCGATCCTGACCTGCAAGGTAATTAATGGTGTGCGGCGGCGGCGGCGTAATGTCTGAGTTTGATGCCATTAGCTTGCGTGACACTTTGTACTTAGGGTAGTTGTGAATGTCACAGAGGAATGGAATGGAAGGCACCGAACGGAGACCCCCCCCCCCCCCCCCCTTTGCAAATTTGCATCTCACGCGTGCGTGACGGACAGTCAAGCCGCATGTCATTAGCGCCGTAAGGGCCGCTATTAAGAAGGTAGAGCCTTTCACTCCGCGGGTTTGTCGCACGAAGAGTACGGCCAATTAGAGGGCAGTCCTTCAACCCCCTCCACCGGCGGGGCGGCGCGGAGGAGCGGGGTGACCGCAGCCGGGCCTGGAGGTCAGGCTGTCTCGGCCAGCATTGTGTTTCCCACAGCCGCTCTCTCGCTCTCTCTCCACTATCATGGGGGGGGCGGGCGGGGGGCTGTGCACGTAAGGAAGGCGGCATTTGCGTGCGATGGTGCGAGCGAGCGTCTGCGTTTGTTTCCAGTTCGGGCAAGAAAGTCGTTTGCTGGATGGACGCAACAACATTGAAGGGCCTGCGTCGGTAATGATGTGCGGGCACAAATAAATAAAAGGCCGCTATCACCAGCGGCGCAGCCTCATAACGGAGGGATAACCACCGGGGATTGCAGTGGTTAGAGGTCTGCGCCATAAACCCATCGACCCGAGTTTGATTCTCAGCTATAGACAGTGGCCAGTGATATCTGATGCTGTCCAAGGTCCCCCCCGCCCCTTCCACAACCCACACCGACCAACGTGGTAAAGCATGGCTAAACAGTCCCCCGTGATAGATACAGCATCATCCAGCAGTGGGTGGACAAAGCGCTGTAAACGTGCACTTGAGTAAATACGGAACATCGTCAGTGATGGTATTACCCACTGCCCACCAAGGAACACGGGCATGAGCTTCATGCAATTGCTGCACCGCACTGAATGGGCCTTGTTGTAGTCAGGGAGAGCCCTTACCTTGAGCACCAGACAGCCCAGTGGCATGTGCATAAGGGGCTCTTGTGATGAGAAAGTTGAAATGGTTCCAGAATTTCGACAGCTGAAATACAAATCGGGATGGAGCGTTGGTGCAGTGGTTAGCACATTACACTATGAACCCGCCGACCTGAATGCAAATTTCCAGCCACGGCTATCATAGTTGGCGAATGATGTCTGAACTGGTCCTAGTCCCAGTGTGGTGAAGTATGGTTAAACCCCATAATCGACATGACGTGGGGAGGCCCTCATCCAGAAAGTGGATTTATAAAAGTGCTGTGCATATTCAAATCAGAATTTATTAATTTTTATCGGAATATAAATGGGTTTTGCATTCATACGGCTTTGCACACATTTGACGCATTACCAAATGTTCATGCCTGCATTGTTCTGCTGTTCGTGGCCTCTGTTCCGAGTTCTCTGTTCAACCGAACGCGTTCGTCCCCCTCGCTCCCTCCTATGTCCATCTATCCAGGTGTGTGGCCTGCAGAAGAGGTCATGGCATTCTACTGCATTAAACACAGGCACACGTTCAGGTAAGGAAGCGTGCGGGTTGTGCTTCTGAACCAGCGGTTCTTCACGTTTACTGCAGCCTTGGCACCTCTTTGGTTCTCAATTGTAAAGAAAAAAAAAGTAGAATGTTCATAAATACATCGGTTTCATGAAAACATAGTAAGTTGTGCTTGCGTCCCCGTGCTTAAATTGTGTTTCGATGATTTACCTTCGAAAAGAAAATCTGGCCATGTCTCGTACCCCCTGGAGGTCCAGCATGCACCTCCAGGGGTTGCAGCGTGCACCCGAGGTTAAGAACCACTGTTCTGGTTAATAACCACAGTTCTGGTTAAGAACCACAGTTCTGGTTAAGAACCACTGTTCTGGTTAAGAACCACTGTTCTGGTTAAGAACCACTGTTCTGGTTAAGAACCACTGTTCTGGTTAAGAACCACTGTTCTGATTAAGAACCACTGTTCTGGTTAATAACCACTGATCTGGTTAAGAACCACTGTTCTGGTTAAGAACCACTGTTCTGGTTAATAACCACTGTTCTGGTTAAGAACCACTGTTCTGGTTAAGAACCACTATTCTGGTTAAGAACCACTGTTCTGGTTAAGAAGCACTATTCTGGTTAAGAACCACTGTTCTGGTTAAGAACCACAGTTCTGGTTAAGAAACACAGTTCTGGTTAAGAACCACTGATCTGGTTAAGAACCACTGTTCTGGTTAAGAACCACTGTTCTGGTTAAGAACCACTGTTCTGGTTAAGAACCACTGATCTGATTAAGAACCAGAGTTCTGGTTAAGAACCACAGTTCTGGTTAAGAACCACTGATCTGGTTAAGAACCACAGTTCTGGTTAAGAACCACTGTTCTGGTTAAGATCCACTGTTCTGGTTAAGAACCACTATTCTGGTTAAGAACCACTGTTCTGGTTAAGAACCACTGATCTGATTAAGAACCACAGTTCTGGTTAAGAACCACTGTTCTGGTTAAGAACCACTGATCTGGTTGAGAACCAGAGTTCTGGTTAAGAACCACAGTTCTGGTTAATAACCATTGTTCTGGTTAAGAACCACTATTCTGGTTAAGAACCACTGTTCTGGTTAAGAACCACTGTTCTGGTTAAGAACCGCTATTCTGGTTAAGAACCACTATTCTGGTTAAGAACCACTATTCTGGTTAAGAACCACTGTTCTGGTTAAGAACCACTGATCTGATTAAGAACCAGAGTTCTGGTTAAGAACCACAGTTCTGGTTAAGAACCACAGTTCTTGTTAAGAACCACTGTTCTGGTTAAGATCCACTGTTCTGGTTAAAAACCACTGTTCTGGTTAAGATCCACTGTTCTGGTTAAGATAAGATCCACTGTTCTGGTTAAGATAAGAACCACTGTTCTGGTTAAGATAAGATCCACTGTTCTGGTTAAGAACCACTGTTCTGGTTAAGAACCACTGATCTGGTTAAGAACCAGAGTTCTGGTTAAGAACCACAGTTCTGGTTAAGAACCAGAGTTCTGGTTAAGAACCACTGTTCTGGTTAATAACCACAGTTCTGGTTAAGAACCACTGTTCTGGTTAAGAACCACTGTTCTGGTTAAGAACCACATTTCTGGTTAAGAACCACTGTTCTGGTTAAGAACCACAGTTCTGGTTAAGAACCACTGTTCTGGTTAAGATCCACTGTTCTGGTTAAGAACCACTATTCTGGTTAAGAACCACTGTTCTGGTTAAGAACCACTGATCTGATTAAGAACCACAGTTCTGGTTAAGAACCACTGTTCTGGTTAAGAACCACTGATCTGGTTGAGAACCAGAGTTCTGGTTAAGAACCACAGTTCTGGTTAATAACCATTGTTCTGGTTAAGAACCACTATTCTGGTTAAGAACCACTGTTCTGGTTAAGAACCACTGTTCTGGTTAAGAACCGCTATTCTGGTTAAGAACCACTATTCTGGTTAAGAACCACTATTCTGGTTAAGAACCACTGTTCTGGTTAAGAACCACTGATCTGATTAAGAACCAGAGTTCTGGTTAAGAACCACAGTTCTGGTTAAGAACCACAGTTCTTGTTAAGAACCACTGTTCTGGTTAAGATCCACTGTTCTGGTTAAAAACCACTGTTCTGGTTAAGATCCACTGTTCTGGTTAAGATAAGATCCACTGTTCTGGTTAAGATAAGAACCACTGTTCTGGTTAAGATAAGATCCACTGTTCTGGTTAAGAACCACTGTTCTGGTTAAGAACCACTGATCTGGTTAAGAACCAGAGTTCTGGTTAAGAACCACAGTTCTGGTTAAGAACCAGAGTTCTGGTTAAGAACCACTGTTCTGGTTAATAACCACAGTTCTGGTTAAGAACCACTGTTCTGGTTAAGAACCACTGTTCTGGTTAAGAACCACATTTCTGGTTAAGAACCACTGTTCTGGTTAAGAACCACAGTTCTGGTTAAGAACCACAGTTCTGGTTAAGAACCACTGTTCTGGTTAAGAACCACTGTGGAGCGTCTCGTCGAGAGCTCATTGTTTCCCTCCTGCGTCTCGTTAAACAGAGGGCTCTCGGTCTGCGAGCTGGGAGGAGGGATGACGTGCCTGGCCGGGCTCATGGTAAGAACCGATGTGGGAGCAATTTGAGCACATTTTCGAACATCTCCCTTGCGCGGCACAACAAAGGATGTTGTCGACTGGAGAGAGACTTCAATGTCAACGTCACTTATCACCGCTCGCAAAACGTAAATTGCTAAATGTAGCTTGCATTCACAAAGGGGATAACGACGCCCGGGTGCCTTGAATGCCGAGGCGTATTAAAGGAATCGCGCCTCCATTTATATAGATATTTTTAATGCCGAGATTTGACCCGTGTGCGTCATTGCATTGTTCGAAACGAGGGACGCGGGGTTCACGGGGGCGAAGGCCTCCGTGGGTAAGTGGCGTCGCGACACCACTCTCCCTCCTCCCTTTGGGAGTGCCGTGCGCGACCGCTCACGGACCCCGCTCGGCTCGAGAATCGTTTGTAAAAGCGCCACGGCGCGGGGCAGCGAAGACGGTCGTGATGGACAGCCAGTCGTCCGTAGGGGCGTCGGGGAAACGCGAGCGCTCCTCGCGGCAATTTTGCCGTCGCCAGGCGCGGAGGCCTTATTAAAACGAAGCGCTAATGTGCCCGCCGTCGTCATCGCCGTGGCAAGATACGCTTGTTGGAAATAACAGCGTCACGCCGAATCTGCGGAGTGAATAATGATATCATGGGGGGGGGGGGGGCCTTCAAACTGTGGCTACGTTTCTACCCCCTGCGCAGGTTGCCATCACATCGGAGGCTAAGGAGGTTTTATTAACGGATGGAAATGACAAGGCCGTCAAAAGTATCCTTTTATGAATGATTTCTGAGCGGAAGCGTGCGTCTGGGAGAATTGGTATTTTTTTTCTTCGTCTTGTCATGCGTGGCTCGGCTAGAAATTGCAAATGATGATTTTGAGCACGATGGTAACATGGTTTATTGCACGCATCGCAACCTCCAATTAACATGGTTGGCTACGTACGGCGCGAAAGAAGTTCACACCCTAGAATATATCTGTTGAACTGTCCTGCTGAATTGGAAGGAAAAGCCCTTAACGCTTTATTCAATGGATGTAAGCACGATTTTGGAAAGAAATACATCCTCTGGCTTAATTACTGCCGCAGATGTCACAAGCCGGTAAGTTGACAGTAATTACAGATACGCTTCTTGCCTAATTAAGGTTTTGGGAACGTTGCTCTGTCATCCGAAAGGTTTCATTTTGCAATAAAGGGGACTGATGAATCGTGACTAAAGCTGTTAGATGAACGTGATTTTTTTCTTCAATTAACAGTGCTAACTGTATTTTTTTCTGTTTAGAGTACTACGGTGGGATAACGAGGAGGACATTTTTCCACTTGAAGGAAAATTTGACATCTTGCTTTGTGCAGACTGGTGAGTCGGCACACACGCCGCACGGCACAGCTTTCCATGATCGCCAACCATCAGGTGCGTGAAGTGCACACGAGCTTCATTTGCCTATTATGCATCAGCCAAGATTGGCATTCGTTACAATGAGAGATGGTGGGGCGGGGAGGGGGTGTCGTGTGGACCGGAGTGGAGACGTGCACACGTGCGGTGTTTCTGCACACACGGCCACTGTGTGGCTATAATGTTGCCTGCCACGTGTGTGTGAGTTGGTGACTCGAGTCTTTTTGTCAGTGGAAAGTAGTACGACCAATACTATAGTGTCTCGTGCGTATGTAGAACTTTTTTTTTTCACCGTACGTACCCAAACCGTGCTATGGGTGTCTCTGAGTTTCTGTGGGTCTCTATGGGTCTCTGCAGGTCTGGGTGTCTGTGGGTCTCTACGTACGTGTGTACGTTGAACTTCTTTCGCACCGCACGTAGCCAACTGCGCTAATCGGGGGTGCAGGGGGAAGGACAACAAACTAAACGCAAAAATCAGTCCTGAAGAAAAGTTTTCAATCGAGATTTCAAAGTGCACGGCTTCCTAACATCGGAAGGGAGATTGTTCCAGACGGCCGCAGAAGCGCATCTGAAAGCGCGCGATGCATTGACCGTCATTGTTCGATGGTTCACCATAAACCACTGCGAGGGTGACCGGAGTTTGCGTGATGGTTTCGTGCTCCCTGACAAGATCAGCAGTGTGTAAGCATGTTGTAATGTATTTGGGTAGTTTTGGACGGCGGGGAGATGATGAGCAGTGTTTACACGTTCATGTGGGCGGCTGGTGGGTGAGCCGGAGGGGACGGCCCCCTCCGGCTCACCCACTGTGGGCGGTGGTGTTACTGTGCGGTCCACGGTTTAAGATTCATAGGCTGACATGGAGATTCATAGACTCGCATAGAGAGCCGTAGACTCACATAGAGACTAATGCATTTACATGGAGAGCCATCGACGTGTATAAAGACCTATAGAATCACAGAGAAACCCATAGACTTCCACAGACTCGTATAGACCCATGGGTAAATGATCGAAGCGGGCAGTAATGTTTTGTATGTGGTCCATGGTTTTGAGATGGACAATCACGTGAAGATTCATAATTTGAATTCGTATAAAAACCCGCAGGCTTTTATAGAGACCCTCATACTCACACAGAGCCGCATATGCAGAGACTCGTATATGCATATAGACCCACAGGTGAATAATCAAAGTGGGGAGTGGCATTACAATACAATTAAATTTCGTGGTCCATGGTTTTAGATAGGTGACCGCAGTCACTCTCTGGCCCTTTCGTTATTGTCCATCGCTAGAGGAGGAGGAGATGGCGGCGTTTGTCGTGCGATGTTCTGATGCGGTTCATTAGAGGCCATTGTTTTCAGGGTTAATTGTGGGGGGCAGTGTACTGACGGACTGTGACCTTGCAGCCTGTTTGTGGATGAGCACCGGGCCTCCCTCGTGGACACGCTGCACAGGCTGCTGCGACCAGGGGTGAGTGCTACGTCGTCAAGTGCTCGGCGGCGCCCGTGGGCATTTTCGTGTGGTGGGACAGTGGAATTCTTGTCTTCAGATGGTGATTTAAGGGTGCTGCGGTGGCGAGATGTTAACTGCCTTGCCTGGTATACAGGAGGTCGTGGATTCAATCCCGACCCTGACACCTGCTGGAAATTTGGAGTTTGCGTGTATTCCCCCGTGGGCACGTGGATTTTTCTCCGGGTCCCCTGGTTTTTCCCCTCCGCATTTAAAATCAAGACTGAGTTTATTCGAGTATTTGGCTGCTATAATTTCCACGTGATAAGCCACTTCGTTGAGCTGTCATTTGTGGCCAGGTCGCTTCTGAAAAAAAAGCTATATAGCTTAGCGGGCCTTACCTGGTAAAATAAAAAAAAAGTTTTAAGTTAGAGTTTAGTTTGAATTTGCACACTGAGCTACAAAGGGTTGTGCGTGTCTCTGCCGGTCTTTGTTCAAGGGGACCGTGCTGGTGTTTGCTCCGCAAAGAGGAAACACGCTGGACAAGTTCTGCGTCCTCGCCGAGCGCTCGGGGTTTAAAATTGAGAAAACCGAAGCGTACGACCAGCAGGTTTGGGCGATCCATTCTGCGGTGAGAAGTGTTGACGGCTTCATTCCTCTGCTAATAATGAACACGGCTGCACCCTGCTGCATCTCAATGTGCTGACAATTACTGCGTTGAATTTCAGTGATTAGTGCTGATGAATTACCGTCCTCTTACTGATGTTTTTTTTTATTGTGCCAACTGTTGTCTGCATGTTTTTTTAGGTGAAGACGGAGGGAAAGAACGCATATGACGAGAACCTGCACTACCCGATCTTGCTAACGCTGACGCGCTGCCTTTAGGCTGTCGCTGGATTATTGCTCTGGCCTAACAAAGCGTTGCCTTAATTGACGACCCAGAAGCCTTTGTTTTTGTATTCTGCGAGGGTACTACTGGTGGCAGGTATTCTGGGTAGCCCTCCAGAACCAGTGGTGAGATGTAAACTACCTCGCCTGGTTTACAGGAGGTCGTAGGTTCAATCCCGAGCCTGACGCCTGTATATTTGGAGTTTGCATGTTCTCCCCGTGGTCGCGTGGATTTTTCTGAGTCCTCTGGTTTTTCCCTTCACATTTAGAAACTTGTGTTTAGAGTATTTGACTGCTATACATTTTCACGTGATAAGCCACTTTATTAGGCTATCATTTGTGGCCAGGTCGCTACTGAAAAAAAGCTATATAGCTCAGTGGGCCTTTTCTGGTAAAATAAAAAGTTTAGTTAAAAGCGTTAAAGTTAAAACTTGTAGTAATTTGCAATTTATGCAGGTTCATAGGCAGCTGTGTGAATGATCTTCACACAGGAGCCGTCGGTCGAATACCATCGCTGTACTTGTTAAGGTCACAGATTGTAATTGCACTAAACTGTGATGCATTTTATTATTTTATTGTTTCCCTTCAACGTGACTTTACCGAAAGAGCTAAGAATATGAAATGTGATGCACAGCTTTGACAGACTTTTTTTTATTAACAAGCTAATTGAGCTTTTCTTGCAGTCATGTAATTATAATTATTGAAGTTTTCTTTATACCTTAATCGGATTCGAACTGCCATTGTTTTGTCTACGTAAATCGAATTATCGCACGATACTTGAGAGACCTAGACTGTGTAGTGTTCCCCGATCCATCATAAGCTTTGAACTTGTTTAAATCATTTTACGGTATGCACTCTGTACATTAAACTTGATTTTATTCTTACTTAATCTGTCATTTATCAATACCTCGCAATACCAACTACTTCCTTGTGTTAAAAGTGTAGGGAACCCCAAGGAATACGTATTCACCTTCACCGCAACACAATGATGAGTCATCTTCACGTGTCATGCATTAGTATTTTGTTTTTATTAAACTCTGAACAGCATACATTTGCAGAACAATTAACTTAACAAACATAAACTTCAAAAGTACAACTTTTGAAGTTAAGCATAAACATCAACAAACACATTCTTGAGCAGGTTTTCCAATGTCTTTTCGGGTTGTACCGCGTGTTATTCGGCATGGTGATTCACGTTTGGCTCCCAGCGAAACATCAGACATCACGTTGAACCCAAAAACACATCGTACAGCCACATTCTTATTGATTACATCCACAGGGCTGTAAGGACTGTAATAATGACAGACAGGAGACAGACACTGTGGGAAGTCCCAGGGTCTGTGTCTCAGGGCCCACGTGGGAAAGCTACATGGCGACTCGGCATAACATTTGACAATTTGTTGGTTTTTATTCATGGTTTGGAGCCGTGCTTGTAAGATCCTGCTACCTCGTGCCTTAAAGTAGTGGCAGGTTGCTACGTATTCCCAGTTCCTCATATGCTGTGGTAATGTCACAGTTAAATGGGGTTTTTATTCAGTATTTCACTTTTTATTTTGTCACACTGCTAACTGTTACACTGTTAATTTAAGATTTCAATTTCCATTGTAGACTATTCCTTTTAGACTGAAAAGGCACTCAAATGATTGGAAATGTAGGCATTCATCAAAGCTGTCACTAACCAAAGAAAGGCCTACATTGAATATATATTTAGGAATCATAACCATGAACAAAAATGGAACAGCTACACTGGGATTACATGGAAGCGATACAAACAGCTTGTGCAGGTGAATTGTTGCATTGCAGAATCACGGAGAGGTGGCCATGGCAGAGATTGACGGTTTGAATCCAACGGCCGCCCTGTTTATTACTGCGCGCGTCATCGCCGTACAGTGGACGTTAAAAGATTCCCTGACGTCATTCACAAGAGTCGGTCATTGTGTGCCGGCGTCGGTGTCCAAATTTGGCAACTTTGAAAATTACCCCGAAATTTCTCAATTGGGATCGCAGGCACAGCAGAAATGACTGCCCCTTACATACAGACTCGTGCTCCAGGTCACTTCGACTATGGATTAATTGTGTTTTTTTTTGGTTAGATCCCGTAAATATATAAATGTGTCGTTAAACCCGCCACCACCCAACAGCCAATTAGTAAGGTTTGTCACCTAAACAGAACGTGACCAATTTGTTACCAGTCCAGCACATCGGTGTGTTGGAGAGCAAAGCCACATTTCAAAAAAAGAATGCCACAACATTTACAAAAAAAATTTATGTTGTGGCTTTGCTCTCTAACACACCAATGTACTGTACTGGTAACGAATTGGCATGTTCTGTTTACGTGACAAAGCTTACTAATTGGCTGTGTCGGGCGGTGGTGGGTTTAACGACACATTTACGCGATCTAATAAAAAAACCTGTGTTATGGGATGATATTGGTCGCGAAAGCCTACGTGTTAAACTGATGCTTATGGTGTGGGCAGTGATGTAGCTCATAACTAGTAAAGGGAGCGTGTATTACCTTTGTAAAATATCTTTAATCCCTGGCGATTCATTTTTTGTACTGATAAACTTGCTCCTCTTTTGTTTAAAAGCAATGTATGTCGGTAGTTCACTTATCGAAAAATATATAGATTTTAAAATGGCATTAACGTTATGATAGTATTCATTAAAACAAATTAAATCCAGTGCGCTCACCCAATAATGCCTGCATGTTAAGTTTATTAAAACCAGTCGAGGAGCTATTGCTGCCCCAGCAGTCAAATGGAAATATGGACTCTTCGTTCCGTTCTGAGTTTGGGGAATTAAACAAAGTAAATCCTTGCGGGAGTTCACTGCCATTTCCAGTGGCTTCAGTAAAAGCTGCTGCATTAAATAAAATGAAAGGGCAAGAAAAAAAGGAGAGCTTGGATTGGGTTTGTTAATGTATTAATTTATCTTAATGCAGACGCATTATCAGGGATGTATGAACACAAAATCCATTAGCATCGAAGAAGTGCTTTGTGTTAATTTGTGATGGCAGCAATGAGTAATGGTGTCACACTAAGTGGATTTGATGTAGCATTCATGTTTAGTTTTTGCCACGTAAGATGTCCTTTGCTTGTCATTATTTTTTACTTTGTCGTTGATACACAACTACGACAAATCATCTACATTTTGACTTAAAACTTATTTTTTTATTCACTTTATTTTTATTTATTCACTTTATTATTGTTATTTTCTCTATCTACGTGACTTTACCGACAGAACCATAGAATATGAAATCATCTACATGTTTACGGCATAAGACTGCAATTAAAAAAAGCATAACTTATTTGAATGTGGGCATTACTGTTATTTTGAGTACCTTATCAAAATTTAATATAAATACTGTAACCTTTCACATTGTTTTTGGGGACGTGGAGACGAATGAAGGCGCACGTTTCACTCTCTGGAGTGCTCTGCTGAAGCAATTAAACAGGCGTGTGTGTACACGTGTATAAACTTTATGCTAATGTTTGACCGAATATTAATATTTAAAGCGCCGAAATGGATTTGGTGGTTGTATTCATGATCGTTTCGTCTCTGACCCATTACTGAGGCTTATTTTTACGAACATATTAAATTCCCTAAGCAAATTATAAATATTTTCTTACCTAGTCAATATCATATATAGGACCATGATTGTGTAAGTGCATACCTGCTTTAGACATGTCATGAGATGTCTCCTCTAAAGCGCCTCCAAATTGATTCTGAAAAACAAGACGATACATTTCACTTTTAGCTGCAACGTATCATTGTTATAGACACATGCTATTACTAAAGTGCTACTTTCACTACTGTTTGGGCCAGATTTGCATCTTGATACAACTAAAGCACGTCCCCTGGGGCAATTTGAAGTTTATTTTCCATTCGTAGAAAACATCAGTATGTGTTGAACAAAGAGCGTGAGAATGCAAAAACGTACTGTGGATGTCAAAGAATGGTATTCTAAATAGTTCTTATTGTTGATTTGTCTGCGTGTGTATAGAACTCCGGGAACACAAATCTTTTGTATTAATACGTGCAGCATGCTGTTCACACGGTATGTCACTCTCAATGTTACTCGCGTCTATATCTATACGTGTGTGTAGTCCTTATGTTGGGAGCGGTAGTGCGCTACGCTACGATCCCGACGTCCCAAGTTCGATTCCTGCTCATGGCCAAAACCAATGACGATTTTCTGAATCGGTCCTGGGCTTCCCCTTGGTCGACTCGGCCTCAATTGAGTACCTAATGCGGTGTGTAAACATCGCCAACTAGGAAGATAAAGGTTGTCATGCGTGGTGCTAGGCACCCACCCCCTCGTCTGCCATGCCGGCCTTCATAGGTGCCTGCTAATAGCACTTGCCCTAACAGTCTGTTGAGGCTATACGGGGGATCCTTAGTCTTTGTAGTGGTTATACAGTGTATTGTGTAATGTCACCTGTGTTGAGTTTCTGTTAAACATTGGTCTGCAGGTAAACGTGAAGCCTGGAGAATTTGGCATAAAAATATCAAGAAAATTTTCCGATGAAGTTTCACCACTGTCATTGGCTTCAGATGAGTGCGGTGCCTTGAGTGAACTTGCGTTGCTGCCAAAGGAACACACAAGTTATATTTAAAAAAAACAACACATTCATCAATAATAGTCTTAAAATGAAATATATGAGTGACATTTTGGGCAATGGCTATTCTTTACAGCATATAGAGAGGCTAGAGAGAGAGTGAATAAGAGATGGAGACTGCACTTTACACCATGGGGCCTGATGAAAATTTCATTTTTTGTAAGTTTCTGATTACTAGTTTTTAAATTGAAATTTACATTCCATACTTGCCTTCAAATAATGCAATTACATATTAACTATTATGGTGATGGATATGGCATTGCTGTTTGCATCATTTTATTATTTTGGGAAAAATGTACCCCGCGGGAACAATGGCGTTTCCTTGTCCAGCCGGAGTGGACGGCGAGGTTTGGGAAGGAATTTCATCTTCTTCAAAGACCGTGGACAACTCGGCATATCCAACTGATTCCTGTATACTCATAACAATATAACAACACAATTATATGCGGTTGCTATTGACAGTTTATTGTTTTGAGTTGTGTCTGGAAAAACCGTGTGGCAAAGGTTATTTTGTGATTGTTAAGTCATTTTGCTTGTACATACATATTTGTTGTCCTAGATTATTTGTACATTTTTGTGATTTTCTGCACCTACATTGTGTATCCCAGGTCTCCTTTTTCAATGA